AAACAGGGCTGGGAGGGAGCACAGCCATCCCAAACCCTCCTAGAGCAGGGCTGGGAGGGTGCACAGCCATCCCAAACCCTCCTAGAGCAGGGCTGGGAGGGAGCACAGCCTCAAACCCTCCTAGAGCAGGGCTGGGAGGGTGCACAGCCATCCCAAACCCTCCTAGAGCAGGGCTGGGAGGGAGCACAGCCATCCCAAACTCTCCTAGAGCAGGGCTGGCACAATTTCAAGGTGAGTTTGGAGACACCCACCAGCATCACTGCCTGCACATCAGTGGGTGCCTCCATTTGCAGCCCCTTTGGGACATGGCAGCTGTGTGAGAACATGCAGGACCCTGGAGCAAGACAAGAACTGAAGGAAAACAATGTCTATTTTAGCCTGAAACCACGAGAAAAACAGAGATGGCCAAAAAGAATGAGAAATTTGATCAGGAAACATGAGTGAACCATCCAGCTCCATGGAAAATACAAAGGGTCTGTCAGTAACCACACAAGGTCAGGATCTGGGGATTATATCTTGTCTGAAAGGTAAAACTTCTAGTGATATTTGTAAACAACATTTATGTTTGATGATGTTTGATACTCAATAAAAAAAATTAACTCCCAGAGGATCACAATATTGAATATGTGATGATTTCTGACACTGTTTTCCAGATAACAATGGAAAACCTCATCTGGCTGAAGTTTCCAAGCTTTGTTTTACAAAAGTCTTATTCTTTGAGTTATCTGAATGTTTAACTTAGTGGGACAATTATGAATTGCTCTTGTCTGGACTGCAGGAAAAAAAAATCTCCCAGAAGTTTTGCCCAGGGTTTGATGTTTCTCTGTTGTCCCTTCACAACAGCTGATGCAAGGCTGTGCTGTGCTAATGAGAAGTCCCTCCGCCTGAAGGATGAGCTCTCACTATAATTTTGGCTAAGCCAAGCCTTTTCCTGGTTGTGACAGTCCATTTGCTCCTCATGTAATCACTCAGCTCCTTCCTCTTGGCACTGTCAGACTCTGAGAGCAGAACCAGCCCCAAGCCCCATTTATCAGCACTTCTTTTTACCTAAAGACCTCTGGGGAATGGTGAAGGATGCAGTGCTGCCAGCACCAGGCAGGGTTCCTGTCTCTCCTTTGGCAGGGGCCATGCCCTGCTGGCCTTGCCACCGTGGCTGGGAGCTGGGAGGGCTCAGCTGGTCCCAGATGCAGCCAAGGCTCCTGGTGCCGCTGCCTGACCATCAGAACCTGGACAGCAGCCCTGAATTCTTTTCTCACAAGTCACTTGGCCAGGCCCCAGCTGGTAAATACTTTCAGTCCCTGCATCCCAGCCCGGGGTGGGAGCAGTGACCTCAAGGTAAAAGAGTGCCTGGCCCATCCCTGGTCCCTCAGGGTGGCCAGTCCTCTCAGCCTGGCTCTGCTCAACAGCTCAGGTGTGAGAACCAGAGGGAATAAAAATGCCCAGACAGAGGTGGAAATAGCCATCAGCACCTCTCTCTGCTCTTGCTGTTTGAAACTGGAGCCAGATTCATTCTTGGTAGGAAACAATTCTCCCATCTTGCCAAAAAGCAGAGATATTTCAAAATTTCCCAAAGCCATGGTGTTTTCCAGAAGTCTCATGAAAAACATGAGCAGCAGCCACCCCAAAGTGTCCAACAGCCAAAGGAGACCTGAGGCATCTCCATTTCAGCTCAGGGCTCTCGGTTTCTCCAAGCTGGATGTCTGTCCACCCTCCAAGGGCAGCCCTGCTCCTCTGCAGAGGGGATTTGGGCCAGGAGTGCCCAGGAGCAAAGGGAATGTTCTCCCCACCAAGCCATGGGGCTGGGCAGGAGCAAAGGGAATGTTTTCCCCACCAAGCCATGGGGCTGGGCTCACTCACATGTTCACATCCAGGACCCAGAACAGCTTCACAGAGCTGAACAGACAGACAGCCTGCCAGAGATGGACATCCAGACCCTGCTCTGACCTCCCCAGCTCTAGGGAGGGTGCTTAACACATGATGTAGAGTGAAGAAGAGGAGTCTCCAGCAAAGGAAAGGCATGAAGGGAGAATATGCTCAATATCCACCCCAGATGGATGCAATTTCAGCTGAGCAGGGTGTGCAAATGAAGCTTTTCTGTGTTATTCATGATGGCACGTTAGGAGAGCAAACACATGAAGAACTCAGCTCTCTAAAATGTAAATTCACTGGGGCAGTTCCTTCATTTCTATAGAAACAGCAAAGCTTGCCAGTGGCTAACTCAAAGGAGATGTATTCAGATCCCTGTATCAACTATTTTCTTGCACAAGTGACCACAAAAAAAAGAAAAAAAATTATAACCCCCCAAAAAAACCTAACAATAATACCATGGAAACTGCAGAGTGAGACATATGGACTTAATTACTTGCTCTGAAATCACACGTATGGTACAGAACACTCACAGGTTATGTGCTCCAGAGGGGAAGGGCTATAACAGCATTTATAAAATGAACTGCTAATGTGCTGTTCTGCTGCAGCTTTGCACATCAGAACACTTGCAGGGGCTGGATTCCTGTGCCAGGCTCTGCCTGCAGTGACCTGGGTGGGGACCTGGGACCCAGAGCTGGGAGAAGGGAAGCCAAAGTCCAAGTCACCCATGGAGAATCCTCTCTGGGAGGGCAGATCATGGGAGAATTTGTGGGTACAACTCCAGCCAGCTCCACTGGGCACCTCCAAAACCCAGCCAGGTCCCAGAGAGGATTGCCAATGCCATCAGAAGTGTGGGCAGCTTGCCAGGCATGGGATGCTGGGTTTGGCCCCATCTGACTGCTTGACTTGGGGGTGTTGGCTTGGCTCAGGCTTGATTCAGGCTCTCTGTCACTGCCTGAGCTCTCACAGCTTCCTGGTGATGTCAAACCATCTCAGTGACATCAGGTGTGGGGGAAGCAAGGTCCTCTCTTGTTCAGAGCTGAGCAAAGAGTACAGAAAGGAGCTGACCCTGTAGCCAGGACACATCAGGGGACAGGGGATCCATGTCCAGCTGTCTCCCCTGGGCAGCCCTGAGCCTCAGCCTCCCCCAGGGGTGCCCTGCTGCCCCTGAGACCTCACACAGGGGTCTGTCAGCTGCTCCAAGGGTACCTCATTGTGGAAATGAGAGGTTTTTATTTCTGTTACCAGCACTGATTTCTACCTGGGAAATGAACTCATGGCCACTAATCAGGAATCCCTAATAAACCCAAGGCTGGAATAATTGATTGTGGCAGGGCTGGATCAGTACTTTGGCTCTCCCAAGGCACTCCCAGGATGTTTGGCTGAGCTGTGGGAGGGCACCAGCTGTGGGGCAGAAAGTGGAACATGAGAGGTGCCTGCAGCCCCAGGTATCAAACCCTTGGGCTGTGAGCACCTGTCAGTGGGTCTGAACCACCCCCTGCCGGTGAGTTCAGAGCAATGTGCCCTCCTCATGCCTCCCCTGCCACGGGCAGGGCTCCAGAGCAGCTCCCTGACCTCCAGGCATGGCCTGGCTGATGCACAGAGCTGGGGCTCCACCATGCAGAGCAGGGGCTCTGGCCCTTGCATAGTGACAGCAGCCTTTGGAAAGTGTCCTGGTGCTCCCACGAGCTGCCATGACCTCGTTGACAGCCTGGCTGCAGCTCATGAAGCACAGCAGAGATTTGGGGTGGCAATGTGAGAGCTCAGCCCGCCCTGCTCCCTGCTGGGCTGTGCCCACCCTGCTCCATGCCCTGCCTGCCAGGCTCTGGAAAACATGGAGCTGAGGCCAGGATTGCTGCTCAGGTGACTGAGAACCTGTTTCACCAAAGCAAAACAGAGGGAGAAAAGGCCAGAGGGAGAGATGGGGCATCACCCTTGGCTGTGTGGTGTTGGTGTTCTGCTTGTAGCAGCCAGCAGCTCCTGTGTGTTGGCCATCACAGACCTGATATCCAGCAGCATTTCTCATCATGCCTGAATGAAACAGGCACCAGGATCATCCCCTGGCCAGAGCAGGAGCAGCAGTCCTGGCCCCAGAACTCATCCTGCAGGAGCCAGGGAGAGCTGCAGGACATCCTGCATCCTTTGAGCTCTGGGCTCACAAGTTGTCCTCTCATATCTTGTGATAAGGTTTGGGAATGGGAATATGGGGAAGTGGCTCTGTCTAGTGTAGGTCTTGGGGTGCTAAGGTTTGTCTTTCCTAAGAGCCAGCCTCACATCCTCAGTCACAGGGGACAAGAGAAAAGCTTGCACAGGGCAGAATGAGAAAGCCTTGGGAGGCAATGGCTGAGCACCTGCTTTTCCTCCCCAAACTTGGATTTATAATTGTCACATTTGATTAAGATGATCATAATACTTCAGGGGCTGAATTTGCATTTACAGGGATTGAAATCAGCAGGGTCAGACTGCAGCCTTCTCTGCAACAGGTACATGCAACAATGTACCTGTTGCAATGCAACACGATGTGCATCCAACCACCCCACCCCACCCCACAGCCTCCCCAGTGGCCACAGTCCCTCTCAGGGTGGGGATGATGTGGCAGCATCACCACAGCAAATCCATTTCCAGCTCCTTTGGGTGACCCCTCTTCCACAGCCTGCCATGCATTAAATACAGGGGTGGATGTCCTGTTGCTGCCTGGTCACAGCACTGTCCCACAGCAGCAGCAGGGACAGCCCTGCCAACCCCTTCAAATCCCAGGGGGAAGGTGCCAGCTCTGCCTGGCCAGACTTTGATCAGTAGGACAGGGCATGAAGATTCCCTGCCAGGCTAGGGGAAGGGAGCTGGATCACCCCAGCAGCCTGGTTGCCCAGCCTGCTCCCCAGGGACAGCACAGCATCCCTTCCCTTCACTCCTCATCCCTGTGGACAGCATATTCTCACCTTGAGAAGAGTGGAAATGGCAGCTGGAATGTGGGCTGGAAATAAAAAAAAAAAAAAAAAAAAGAAAAAAAAAAAAAGAAAATCTTGAGGCCTGTCCAAACCTACTCATGTTTATATTGGAGCCTGTGAGTGACATCAGAGCAGGGAGAGTATAAACACCAGCAGGACCTACTCTGGGCTTTAAAAACCTGCGAACCCTGCCTCCAAACTGCCTGGGGGGTGATGTGCTGAAGTGGCACGGGGAGAGCAGCATGAGCCTCCAGCTGGAGAAGCAGCTCCTGTTCCTCTCCCTGCTCTGCATCCTCTCCAAGGTAAGGCACACGGGGCACCGGGGCAGCTTCAGCCGAGGGGCACCCGGACAGGGCTGCAGGAGGGATGGGGTGTCACCAGCTCTGAGCCCGGCAGCCGGGCTGTGCTGATGCAGGGGGCAGAGCTGTGCTCGGAGAGGAGTTTGGGATGAAGCAGCGGGCTCCGAGCGTTCCTGGGCCCGAGGCTCGCCCGGAGCGCACAGGAATGCCGGCAATGCGCTGCGCGCCCCCGCCGCTCTCTGCGCTCGATCCCCGGCAGGCAGCGAGCAGCAGCGGGGCGGCAGCGGCTCCTCCGGGCTCCTCCGGGCTCCTCCGGCCTCCTCCGGGCTCCTCCATCCCCGCCCAGGCTCCCGAGGCAGGGGCCAAGCCACGAGCACCAGCCCTGGCATTGCTCAGCTCTCCCCACTTCTCGGAATGCTCACGCCAAGCCAGTGCCTCCAATGGGATTTGAGTTGTTGTAGAGGTTTTATTAATTTTATTTTTTTTTCCTCTTGGACTCTGTGTGAAAATATTTGCCTGTGCAGAGAACAGGAATGTTGAAAAATGTGGGGCATCTCAGCTCCAATTTCTAATTGCTGCCTGAATCCCCGGACAGGGATGTTGTGGCCATGTCGTGCCTATTTGACTCTTTTCCCAGAGTTCAGATCTCTGACAGAAGCCACATTGTCATCTAAAGACAAGTAAATTACAAGGAGCAGGGAGAAATAGATTTATGGCTTGGCTAATCTATCTAAAATATTGATTTGTAATAACAACCTCCTGAAAGATGAAAAATGCCCTTGGCAAGCTGTAACAGAGCAGTGATTCCTGCCCCAGGTGCTCACGAGTGTCTGGAGAATCACCAAAGGCCATTGTGCTGCCAGCCCAAACCTGGCCACTACAGCTGGTCCCACAGTCCCTGCCACATTAATAATGCTGCTCACTAGCAGAACTAGGACAAGACCCAGATTACCCCATCCCAATCCATATTTTAACTCCATTTATTGGCACTGACACTCCTGCAGCCCCAGGAAAAGCATCTGAACTGCTGCAAATGGGGAACAGATAGAGCAGCAGGAGCCACCCTCTCTGTCTGACTCATCATGTCAGAGCTGTTGCCCCTGGGAGAAACTGAAAGAAAAAGAAAAGTGGTATCTAAAACCTACATGGTCTGGCTGAGCCCATCGCTCTCCTGGGAGACTCAACAGTCACACCAGTACCTAGACCAGGGCAGGGATGAATGTTTTGGTTGCAGGTTTGCTGTGCTGCCCTCAGCATGTGCATGGTGCTGAGCAGCAGGGCTGCCAGGGGGCTCTCAGCACTGTCAGGCCAGCACTGGTGAAGAATTCACTCCCAAACTGCAGATTCACTGGCAGAGGATTCACTCCCAAACTGCAGAGCCAGCTCTCATGGCTTCAGGCTCTGTATGCAATAGCTCTGTCACATGTGATGTGATGGGAGCCCAAGAGCTGCCTAAAAGAGCTGGTGGGGCCAGGGTGATTGTGCAAGCAGGATGAGCCAAGGGTATAAAATCCACCTGCCCAGGTGAACTCCTGTGGGCACCTCTCTGGCAGACAATTGGCTGAGCAGGCAGAGGACTGCAGTGCACAGCCCTGCCAAAGGGATTGCTCAGTCTAGGCACGAGGGAAAACAGCTCCCAGTCCTTGAAACGTGCCTGTCTCTGGGCTCCTTGCCCAGTGGGCCAGGCCAGGTGAGAATGCTGCAGCCAGGGACGAGCAGAGGATGCAGCTGGACCAGTGAGGATTGCAGTGAGCTCTGCCTGGCTTCAGATCCCCACTGCTGATGCCATATCCTCTTTCTTTGCATAAATGAGAGCTCTTGACATTGTAAGGAGTGAGGTGCTGTGCACTCCCCATGTGAATTCAGTCCCTGCAAAGCCACCTCTCCTGGGCTGGGCACAGCATGCTGCCTTGGGAGCAGGCATGGGGGTGGGCTGCTTTACCTCCCTCCCTTCCTCTCTCCCACAGGGCTGTTTGGGGCTGCTGACCTCACTAAATAACCACCACTGCCTGGGTTGTTCACCTTGTAACTCCATTCTCCTGTGTGTTCAGAGCAGTGGCACACTAAAGCCCCCATCTTTGAGTGCTGAGCCTCTGAGCATCCTTGATTCTCCATGGTTTTCCATAGGTGCCCTTCAAAGGGGACAGTAGCTTTGTAGCTTTCCAGGATGCTTTAAGATATTCCCATAGATTTGGGGCCTCCCTTCACCAAAAATATGTCCCCATGGTTGAGACAAAGTTACCTGGCTGTCCCAGTGACAAAGCAGCTGCCAGCCCAAAACCACCCGTTATGGATTCAGCTTTGCCCCCACAGGTTTGTGCCCAGCTGTGCCGGCGGCCCTGCTACTGTCCCTGGGTGCCACCGCGCTGTCCCCGAGGCTCCCCGCTGGTCCTGGATGGCTGTGGCTGCTGCAAGGTCTGTGCCCGGCGCCTGGGAGAGCCCTGCGACTTCCTGCACGTCTGTGACCAGAGCCAGGGCCTCGTCTGTGACTACAGCTCAGCACCTGCGGGGACAGCAGGCACCTGCAACTGTGAGCACAGGGTGTCCCCTTTCCCCGGGGGTACCCCCACAGTCCAGCCCAGCACAGAGCCCCCCTCCAGCCATGGCCTCACATGGCTACAGACACCCCGCAGCACCACCAGGGGAGGGGGTGAGGCCAGGAGAGCAGCTTTCCTGAGGATGGTGCATGCAGCTTGGCCGTGGCGCTGTGCCCCATCTCCTGCCAGCTCTTGTGCTGCTTTCTGGCTGAGAATTCAGGGTGGTTTCAGTGACAATGGACAGGGGGGTCCCAGGGATGCCAAGGCTGGAGCCTGGGGGTCCTGCAGAGGAATCTCAGAGAAACTTTTCCCAGCCTGGAAATCCTGAAGGCAGGGTCAGAGCCAAAGGGCAGGGGGGTTCTCACAGCTTGTGAGCTGAAGCTTTGAAGAAACAGAGAGATGGGGAGAGAAGGCAGGGAAAGGGAGGGGACTGAGTGATGAACATGCTGCTGCACACCCATGTCTGCCCTGCACGCCACTCGGTCATTCTGTGGTTCCCCACTTCAATCCCTTTGTCCAGGCCCACAGTTACCTCCAACAGTGCCCCTGCCATCCCCATCTCTCTGCCCCTCTGTCCCTCTGTCCCTCTGCCCCTCTGCCCCTCTGTCCCTCACCGGCACCCCGGCTGTCTCTTGCAGTTGAGGACGATGAGGAGGGCTGCGAGGTGAACGGCCGGCTCTACCGAGACGGGGAGGTTTTCCAGCCCAGCTGCAAGATCCAGTGCCACTGCCTGGACGGGGGCTTCACCTGTATCCCGCTGTGCCAGGAGGATGTGCGGCTGCCCAGCCCCGACTGCCCCTTCCCCCGGCGCGTGGAGATCCCAGGGAAATGCTGCCCCGAGTGGATCTGCCAAGGTGCCCGGGAGCAGCCCCTGCCCCGCGATGCCAGGGCAGGTGAGATGCAGGGCAGCGCCAAGGAGGGGATGTGTGACGGTGTTCACAGGGGTTTTTGGTCGAGGGAAGAGACAAGGATCTGACTCCATGTTTCAGAAGGCTTGGTTTATTATTTTATGATATATATTACATTAAAACTATACTAAAAGAATAGAAGAAAAGATTTCATCAGAAGGCTAGCTAAGAATAGAATTAGAAAGAATGATAACAAAGGTTTGTGGCTCGGCTCTGTGTCCGAGCCAGCTGGGCTGTGATTGGCCATTAATTAGAAACATCCAACATGGGCCAATCACAGATCCACCTGCTGCATTCCACAGCAGCAGATAATCATTGTTTACATTTTGTTCCTGAGGCCTCTCAGATTCTCAGAAGGAAAAGTCCTCAGGAAATGATTTTTCATAAAACATGTCTGCGACAGGGATGCCCACGGAAATCTCTGGGGATGGCCCCTTCACCCCAGGCTGTGAAACACCAGCAGGGCCTCCCAGGTCTCTTTACCTGCAGCACCACAGCGTGCACAGCTCCTGCCTCCAACCCCCCTTTCCCCCGTGTCGTGTGTTGCAGCCCCCGGGGCGGTGTCCCCGCTGCTGCGGTACCCCTGCCCGCCGTGGGGCACGGAGTGGAGCCCCTGCTCGGCCACCTGCGGGCTGGGCTTTGCCAGCCGCGTGTCCAACCAGAACCGCCTGTGCCGCCTGGAGACCCAGCGGCGCCTCTGCTCGGCCGGGCCCTGCCCGGCCCTGCCCGCAGCGCTGCCCGCGGTGAGTGGGGCTGGGGGGCTGCTCCTCCGGGGGGGACACACGGGTGATGACAAAGGGAAGGGCCAACAGCGCTTCTGACCTGTGGGCCCCCATCAGCCCTCCTCAGCCACGAGCTGACCGTGTCTCAGGACACACGAGCCCTCTCCTGAGACAGCCGATGGAGGTGCTGACAGAATGTTGGGGTCTCTGGATGTCTGAATCCAGGAGCACTGTGGATGCCACTCAGGTGAGCTCTGCCCCTATGGCCAGAGATGGATTTGCAGCTCCTGCCTGGCTCCCTGGGCACACATGGGAGGTGCTTCTGCCACCCTTTATTAGCCTGGCACAACCCCAGTGTGGACACAGTGCTAATCTGCCTTTCTGGTGTGCAGGTGGCACTTTCTGCCCACTTCTTTCCCCCTGCACTGCCATGCTACATGCAGGGGACACACCACCAGCCCTCCCCATCTCCCCACTGATCTCCATTCTGCCTTTCCAGAGGGCAAGAGGAGGTCGTTTGTAGCTGTGCCCACCCTGGATTCACCCTGGAGCCAACACCTCATCCTGCAAAGAGTCTGGCACAAACCCATGGCACTGTGGTTATGGTGAAGATGGAGGGTGTTTCCACTGGGAAAACAGAGAGGAAATGATGGACTTTGGCTGCAAGGGAGGCCTGGAAACAGAGAACAAGATCCCCGTGTCACCCATCACCTGCCTCCTCTGCACACCCCACTGCCCCAGGCAGGGGTACTGGGCAGCATTCCGAGTTCCTTAGGCTGAATGAAATGGGAAATGGGGAAATCCTGCTCCAAGCATAAACCCACCCAAGAAACCAGGAATTGGTCTTTTCCTGGAGCAGTGAGGCTTCTGAAGAGATGATGCTGCTTCTCTGCCACATCACGCAGCTCTGCTTTGCAGGGACTTCAGGAGAGACCTTCTCCAGCACCTGGAAGCCAAAATCCCTGCAGGGAACCCTCATGCCCTGGCCCCCCAGGGAGGGAGCAGGTCATCGAGCTCCCTGTGACCCCACAAGTCACTGCCACACCAGGCTGAGCTGCTCAGCCATGCAGGAGCTCAGCCAGCCCACGGAACCCACCCTGCCTTCCCGGGTATGGGCAGGGTCCTGCTGATGGCAGCTCTAACTCACCTTCCCCTCATCCCTCCAGAATAAACACGAGCCTTCCCGCTCTGCCTGGCCTCCTCCTCTGGTGGTTTGGCAGGGCTTCGGCAAGGCAGGAGCTCAGACAGCAGCAGACAGACCCGCCTGCCATCCAAGCACATTCCCCGCGAGCCGGGGCCAAGGGAGAAGCAGGGAAAAGGGAAAACAAATCGCAAAGATGAGTCGGGGCCGTCTCCCGACGGGCTGGAGCTGCTCCAGCCATGCAGGAGTCGGCGCAGGAGAGCTGCTCGGCTGCTCTGGCTGTACTTTGTCCCAGGGAGAAGTGCTTCTGGGTGATGGAAAGTGAAACCCAAATGCCCTCTAACGGCCTCGCACAGATGTGCAGAGGGAACGCGCGGCTGGAAGGAGCCGCGGTTTGGGTGACGCGTCCAGGTGAGAGATGGACTTCTTAGATGGGTATTTCTGGAACTAAAAATAAAGATGTGCTCATCCAGGAGTGGAGCTTGTGTGTGCAGGGCGAGCCCAGCCCTGCTGCTCAGGGCCAGCTCGGTGGGCGCAGGAAAGTCCTGGCACAGGGTGGGGCAGTTTGGAGGCACCTCAGTTCAGGCTGCTTAGAGTAAGGGAAGGAAAAAGAAAAAATGTGAATCAAAGCACTGAACACAATATTACAATTTATTACATTTTGGTTTAAATCCTTCACTCTAACCCAGCCATAAGCTCTGCTGATGGCACAGCCCTGGCCATAGCAGTGCCCAGGTCTCCAGTGCTGGGATGTGCAGGAGAGCAGGGCAGGGCATGGCACTGCTGCTGTGTCTGCAGCCACAGAACAGCCTCTTAGCTCCCAAAAATCAGTGCCAAAACTCCCCTGTAGGTCATCCCTCCTACTGCCAGGCCCACACTTCCTCCATTCCCCTGGGCTGGGATTTCCCCAGCGTGGTGCAGCACCATCCCCAGCTCACTGTGCTCCTGAGCAGGGCAGGTCTGGGGGTGAAGGGACCAGAGCCTGAATGGCAGGGGAAGCTCCTGTCTCCAGCCCAAGGAAAAGCCTCCCCTGCAGCAGCAGAAATGCAGCAGGCCCAAGGCAGCTCATTCATTCATTCCCTCAGGCCCTGCAAGAACTGAAAAGAAAATGAAAGTAAAGGATGCGGCTCAGCCACCTCATGGGGGTAAAAAAAAAAAAGAGAAAGAAAAAAAGAAACCTCACTGCTCTTGCAGTAATACATTGCCTACAAAGAGAATTATTTACTGCAATCATCTGGTGCTCAGCCTGAATACAAATCATTAATTCTGTTTGATGTGGGGCACATGGTGAATCTCCAGCAGGCAGCAAATTGCAGAACAAACAGCTTGGGTTGGCTTTTTCAGTTCTCTGGTGGCCATGCCAAACAAGTGGTGACCCAGAGCTCATGTAGACTTCAAAACTACCACATTCCTCGACTGACATGGATAAAACACATTGTGGGTACTGAAAATCCTGGTTCTAAGCCAGTTCTTGTTCAAGCATGTTGGGACTCGGCCACCAAGGCTGGGTGAGCTGCCAGGGCTGTCACACACTCCCAGATCCTGCCTAGCCACCTCTGGGTGATGGGAAAAATCAGAAGGTCACTTTTTAGGCAGCAACCTGCAACTCTCATCTCAAACAAATGACTCAACACACCTCTGCTATAATTATCTTTTTTTTTTTCCCTGCAGAATGTCTCTCTGATTCACTAAGCATCTAAATAATGAATTAATGATTCCAAATAAATCAGAGTTATTTTTCCCTATGAATACACGGAAATCAGCTCTTGCAGTTTGATTGCTAGTCTCACAATATTTCTCTCTAAAGCCCTGCTACCCTGGAAACGTGGTTATTTGAGGCTCTGACGCAGGGTCCTGGCTTTGCCTGCTTGTGTGGGGCAACAGAGGAATATTCCACCCCATCCACATGTGATGTGTAAAGATAAAAATCCCCAAACTGAAAGAAAATTCACTTCTGTCCTCAAGGCACAAAGCCACATCTGCATAGAGCCTGGGATGTGCCAACCACACTCATGAGCCAGTGATGAGCAGCAGAGCACAGCTCATTTCTGTGCAAGCACACGCAGCAGCTGAAGGAAAACTGTCCTGCTGGATGAGTAAACAACATGCATCAGAATTTCTGTTCCAAGCCTTTCTCATGATTGATGATTTTTAAATGCATAGAGTTGGGTGAGAGAGGGCTGGATGAGCCCCTTGTTACAGTGAAACATTTTCAGAAACTGAGCACAGGAATGCAGCGCTCAACTGAAAAAAAAATCAAGTAGATCAAATGGGTTTTTTATTTTTCCTGGAAACACATGATTCAGGTTGTGTGTTTGCCGGAGCTGTCTTGGCCCTGTGTTCTCATCCTGACATCAGCACTGCTGCTGCCTGCCAGAGCCAGGAGCCAGAGGGGAGCATCCTCATGCAGGATGTTTGGGGCTCTCCCCATGGACAGAGTTCCCCATGCCCTGCCCTGCTCCTCTCTTCCCACAGCAGGAGGCACCGACTCCAAGCTTTCATTCTCGGGACAGGGAAAGCTTTGCCCTCATTGCTGAGAGCAGCTCATGACCCTTCCCACGATCACAGAAGCCCTCCCAGCCAGCTGCTGTCTCTGCCTCAGTTTCCCCAAAGGTTGATGCTCTGGGGAAGTTCCTGTTCTTCTCGTCTTGCTGCTCTTCCACAGCTCCATGAAGTTGCTCTGCAAGTGCCACCCCGAGCCCAGGCTGCAGGAGCAGCTGAAGCACACAAAGGGGGCAGGAGCAGGGCAGGACGGGGTCACTTCCCTGAGGGGTGCACCCCCAAGGACCCCCCTGCTGCTGTCACTCCAGCGGCACACACCCACCAGAGCATCTGCAAGCCGCAGCAAAGCCGTATCTTCACCACAAGGAAACAGTTCCACACTTCACCTTTTCGGCGGCACACCCATAACGATGAGATTTTACTGCACCGGCAGGAAATAACACACGTTTCCCACCGCTTATCTGCTCCAGCAAGCGCTTTCTGAAGTCAACAAACACGCTGGTACCTTCAACACTCAGCTAACCCCCATCCCTTCTGCCTCTTGGGCCTGCCCACCGTGTCCCCGAGCGTGGTCCAGAGGAGATGCTCGGCCGCTCCCGGGGAGGGATGGACGCGGGTCGGGATGGCTGGGCTGGACTCAGCCTCCCTCCTCCTCCTCCCCCTCCCCCTCCTCCTCCTCCTCCTCCTCCTCCTCCTCCTCCTCCCCACTGGCCGGTGAGATACCAGCCTCCTCCCGCCCCTGCCCGGATTCAATTCCCGGAAAGCAAGCGGACGCGGTCTCTCCAGAGCCTAGCCCTTCACCTCAAGCCGTTTCCCCAAGGTCGAAATGGCTTTTCAGGGTAAACCTCTCATTGCTTCCCCGTCAGCTTCCGCGCCTGCAGAGCCGAGTGACTTCTGGCCCCGTTTATGCTGCAGCAGCGGCTCAGCAATGCGATAGGGGCTGCCCTTCCTCGGGGTCTGGTTTGGGGTCGCTGCTTTTAGTCCTTGGTCCAGTTTCGCATTATCTGGGTGTCTCCTGTGACGGGAAAGGAAGGGCACAGCCCGTCTCACGTCCTCCCTGCACAGGTCTGGACGGCTCGAAGGAGGAACGGGGAAAGGGTTTTTGTGCTTGGGGAGGAGATGGAAGTAGGCAGCAGGAGCAGCTGTAGGGAGGGGGCAGCTCTTGAGCAGGGCTCACTCTGCCTGTGCTGGGGCAGCCAGCCCGGTGCACCTCTGTCTGTGCTGGGGCAGACAGCCCGGTGCATCTCTGCCCGTGCTGGGGCAGACAGCCCGGTGCATCTCTGCCCGTGCTGGGGCAGACAGCCTGGTGCAGCTCTGCCTGCTGACACTGCCTGCGGCCCCGGCGATGGCAGCAGGAGCCCCATGGAACACTTCCAGTGCCCTCCCGGTATTTCTGAGCCTTGCAGCCAGGAGAAAAGCTGTCAGGAGTGGCAGGGAGAGCAGCTCATGGGGTGCAAGCTTCCATCCCCCGGTGTGGATAACTGGGAGGTTTCTCCTGACCGCGAGTGGGACAGAACAGGAACAGGCTGAAAGCTTTGGCTCTCCTCCTCAGGCATCCCTGTGCCTCCTCCCTTCCTCCTGCTCCCTGCAGGCACCCCGAACCAGCCGGGGGTGACCCCGGCTCGGAGCGGGCTGGGGGAGGCGCCGGGGGAGTGGCGGAAGCCGCTCGGCCGAGGCTGCTCTCGGCACATCCTCCCCGTGTCCCGGGGAAAGTCCAGCGCCCTGAAGCCCCGGGCCGGGCTCAGCCGGAGCGGAGAGGCGAGGGGAGCCGCAGCCTGTGCCGGAGGACACGGAGCTGCCGCGGCACCGGTGCCCCCGAGCTCTGCCACCCTCTGCCACCCAGGCACGGCTGCCGCAGCCCCCGATGGCCGCGGACGCTCTCTCCACGTGGCCCGGCAATGGCACTCGGGCTCTTTGCCCCGTGGATTCCGCCTTCGCCCAGCGCTTCCTGCCCGCCGTGTACCTGACCGTGATCCCCCTGGGGCTGCTGGGCAACGGGCTGGGGCTGTGGCACCTGTGCACGGGGCCCCGCGATGGTGCCCGCCAGCCCCTGAGCCTGCTGGTGGGCAACCTGGGGCTGGCCGACCTGCTCTATGTCAGCACCCTGCCCTTCCTCGTCAGCTACTACCGCCAGGGCAGAGTGTGGATCTTCGGGCAGCCCTGGTGCCGCATCACCCGCAGCCTCTTCCACGTCAACCTGTACGCCAGCATCGGCTTCCTCAGCTGCATCAGCATCCACCGCTACCTGGGCATCGTGCACCCGCTGAGGGTGCGGGGCAGGTGCCGGGGTGCCGCCTCCTCCGTGTGGCTCAGCGTGGCGGTGTGGCTCTGGGTCATCGCACAGATAGCTCCCGACCTCGCCTTCAGCAAGGCAGACGGCAACAGGACAGAGTGCCACGACACGACGGGACAGGAGCACCTGCACGTTTACTTGCCCTACACCTTTGCTGTCACCGTGACGGGCTTTGTCATCCCGTTCCTCATCATCATCGGCTGCTACTGCCACGTGGTGTTCGTGCTCTGCAGGAATGACAGCGTGGACGCCAGTCTCAGGAGGAGAAGCATCGGGCTGGTGATTCTCGTCATGGTTCTCTTTTCCATCTGCTTCCTCCCCTACCACATCTTCAGAAACCTCAACTTGTTTTTTCGCTGGCGGCCACCAGGGTCCTGCACACAGGCTTCAAAGGATATCTATGTTTCCTATCAGGTGACTCGGGGCCTGGCCAGCCTCAACAGTGCCCTCAACCCCCTGCTCTATGTGATCACCAGCAAAGACTGGAGGTCACGAATGAGAAGCATCAGCCAAAGTGCCAGACAGTGTCTGAGGCCACCCTTCTGGAGCAAAACCTCTGGCCAGGCAGCTGAGGAGAAGAGGAACGACACTCTTTGTAAGGGGGAGGCTTCTAACGAGCTCTGAGGTACCTGACACCCTCCTGCTTCTGCCACATCAGCTTGTGCTTGGCACCTCCCTGGGGGCAGCCCCCACCTGCTTTGCAGAGATGGTGACAGCAGCATCACGGGCTCTGTGCACACAAGGGACAGGCAGCACTGTCAGCATCTGAGAGAAAACCGGGACCAGATTTCAGAAGCAAAACTACTCAACCCGACTATTTTGGCTATGGAAAGAGATGATCACATTTGCTCCAGTCCACAGTACTTCCCTCCAGCCTCTGCTGCAGCAGGCTGAGCTGGTTAACATCCCCTTGCTTTCCAGCTCCTGTGTGACTGAGGGATGGAGGGAGTGACACCTTGTCCCTCCACTGCATCCTCCCTTCTCTACTGTACATGGGTTTGAGACAGCATTCCCTCTTTCACCTAAGGAGAGGTCCTGCATTGCAGAACAGCTGAGAGGGCAAATTTTTGCAGTGGAGGAAGAGCTTTGGAAATAGAAATATTCATTTAAAAATCAGGTTTTAAGTACATTACCAAGCTGTGCCAGTTCCTGGGTGATTGAGCTGTTTCGGGATCTGTGGGATCCTCTATTGCCCACCTCCTTCGCAGAAGAAAAAGACATTTTTGGCATCACTTCCTCTCTTTTGGAAGAGCACATAGCAGAACTAACAAATG